CCAACTAAGTGCAAAATGACAAAATGACTTCTTGGACCAGAGCACTGCTTGAGTCTAAACTCAGGGCAAACTTAAACTAAAAAAGAAAGCCTAAATTAAAAGTTTAGTTCTTAAGCATTCACTAGATTTGGGAAACAAACCAAATTAATAGTTTTGGGCTTTTAAAATTACTTTGTTAAAAATTACTAGAAGCAATCTAGTTTTTTAACTAATTATCAAATTACTTAATAAACAGACTAGGCAGTAAAGTACACACAACTACAACTTTCTCATCTCTTACTTCTCTACCTGACAAATCCCTACATTCTTTAAAATTCTGCCCCAGGGAATCATCTAATGGTGAATTCCAATACCCCTAAAGCAGAGTTGGTCTTACCCTCTTCTATGGCCCGTCCATACTCTATACATTTCTGCCACGTGGGTTGTGATAATTAGATTATGGTCAGTGTGTTCTTTGAGAGGATGGCTTATGCCTTGCTCCTTTTTTTAATTCCTAATACCTGTCACAGTGCTAGCATTTCCCAGGCATTCAGTAACTGCTTGAAGAACAGTAGCATAAAGAAAAGTGAATGAAAATATCCAAGAAGTACCAGCACAGGAACTGTTGGCTTTACAGTACTAGTGTTTCCTTAAGTGAGTTTTATAAACAAATATTTCTGTGAAACACTAATAGGTATTATGTGAAGTTTCTATCGTCAAGTTTTGGGATGTGCAATCTCAGAGTCTTTAACTTAGATTCACATACATTACAAAGCTCACGAAAAGGACATGATATGAAGCATTTTCCAATCTTTAATATCCATAAATTTTTTTCACAGAGAATTTAATTGGACTAGTATTTTGAGGAACATATTCTGGGAAATGCTAACATTATGTATAATGTTCTTTTTATTTAACAAATACTTTTGAGTGCCTACAATGGACCAGCACTTTCCAGATGTTGGTGATACAGTGATGAACAAAGATAAACAAAATTGGGCAGTGCCCGTAGCTCAGTGGGTAGGGAGCTGGCCACATACACCCAGGGTGGCAAGTTCAAACCTGGCCCGGGCCAGCTAAAAAAAAAAAAGAAACAAAGGCAACTGCAACAAAAAAAAAGCTAGGCGTGTGACTGGCACCTATAATCTCAGCTATTTGGGAGGCTGAGGCAAGAGAATCACCTAAGCCCAAGAGTCTGAGGTTGCTGTGAGCTGTGACACCACGGCACTCTACCCAGGGTAACAGCTTGAGACTTTGTCTCAAAAAAAAAAAAAAAAGATAAACAAAGTTCTTGTTTTGATGGCGCTTATCATCCAGGAAAGACAATAAGAAGAATAGAGAAAAGGCAGAAAATAAATGAAGGAGTTAATTTGAATAACTTATATTAGTTAACTTAAATTAGTTTAAGTGATTAAGGGCCATTAAAGAAAGGATGTATTCTTCCTTGCACAGGAATGCAAGGAAAGGTGTATGTTTAGACTGGGCCATCATAAAAGGTCTCTTTGAGCAAGTAACCTTTGAGCTAAGACCTGGATGGCAAGAAGGTAGACTAGGAAAGTGGGAAAGGCCTTGGCAATGAGCTCCGGTATCTGAGAGGAACAGAAAGGAGCGAGACTGCCCAGAGCACCATGAGCAAGGAGAAGAGTAGATGTGGTAAGTTTAGAAAGGCAGATCAAACCCAAAGAGCAGAGCACCCTGGAAGTAAGTTTGGATTTATTCTAGATATAAATGAAAGGTTTCAAGTAAGAAAGAAACATGGTAAAATTATTTGTGTTTAAAAAATTACTTGGGCGGCACCTATGGCTCAAGGAGTAGGGCGCCGGTCCCATATGCCAAGGGTGGCGGGTTCAAACCCAGCCCTGGCCAAAAAACTGCAAAAAATAAAATAAAATAAAATTTGAAAAAAAAAATTACTTTAGGCTCGGCACCTGTAGCACAGTGGTTATGGCGCCAGCCGCATACAGTGAGGTTTGGCGGGTACCAACCTGGCCCAGGACAGCTAAACAATGGCAACTGCAACAAAAAACAGCTGGGTGTTGTGGTGAGCACGAGTCCCTGCTATTTGGGAGGCTGAGGCAAGAGAATCGCTTAAGCCCAAGAGTTTGAGGTTTTTGTGGGCTGTGATGCCACAGCACTCTACCAAGGGTGACATAGTGAGACTCTGTCTCAAAAAAAAAAAAA